TATTACAAAACGTTGTATTAGAATCAAAAAATAATAAAAATGAAGATTTATTAAATAAATTTATTTTTCAAATATTAGAAAAATATTTTTATTTTAATAAAAACAACAATGATTTATCACAACAACAGTTTTTAACTGATTATTATTTAAAATTTAAAAAAAGAATAATTAATTTAGAAGAACAAAAAGAATCATTCGAAGAACAATTAAAATTATTAGATAAATTTATTTGTTCGATATCACAATGGAATAATAATTTGGAAAAATTTCATTTATTATCTGCACTTAATAATATATTTTTCAATCGTCAAAATATTGATGTTACAATTTTTAATAAATTTGATCAATGTGAATGGCGTAAAGAAATTTTATGTAGTGAATTATTAGCTGGAATATTTAAATCAATTTATTATCAACAACAACAAAAAGAAGAAAATGGTGTAAATGAATTTGAATTAGAAATATTTCGTAAAAATATAAATAAATTAGGAAAAATTTATACAATAGAAAATTTATTACAAATATTAATTGATAAACAAAATATTTATCAATTTGATCTTGAATTTGTTAATGATATTTTATTTATGTTATTACAATTAGATAATGATGAAGATGATCAAATAAAAGTTTTTAATATTTTACAACTCGAAAATAATCAAAGTTTTTTTCTTCAATTACAAGAATTATGGTTAAATAAAAGATTGAAATATTTTCATATAGAATTTATTGATGAAAATTTAAAAATATTAAATCAATATTTACCATATAGAAGTAAAATAATTAATCAAATTTTAGAAAGAACAACAGAAAATACAACAATTGAAGAATTAATTACATTTTTTATAACATTAACAAATTGTGGTTTAACACAAAAAAGTAATGAATATTTTTTAGAAAATGAAATTAAACATAAAACAAATATTAAAAATTGGAATTTAAAATTAGCTGATAGATTAATTGGTGTATTTTTAACTAAAAAATATTCATTTTATAATAATTATTTGCAAAATAATAACAGTTATAAATTAGTATCGACAAAAACTTCTGTCTTTAAACAAAATGCTTACAATCAAGTGAATACAACATATCCATATAGTGCAGATGATATTGCACAAATATCTTCAGAATTGATGAAAGATTTTACTGACAAATTCAGAATTATTCAACCGTTAAATCAACATCATGAGAAAGATGGTGATGATGATGATGACGATAGAAATTGTTTTGAAATTTTAACACAAATTCTAATTGAATATAAACAAGATCAAAGGACAACACTTATTCCATTAAATATTTCTGATAATCATTGGATTGTATTGACACTTATTCGTCATAAAAATAAAGATGTTATATTGTATAAAGATTCATTGGGTGAAGATGATGACATTGAAAAACGTGAAGAAATACAAAACATATTAAATGAAAAACTTGAAAATATTGATTTTAAATTTCATAAATCTTGTGATCAATATGATAATTACAATTCTGGTATATTTGTATTAGCTAATATGGAATTTATTGCTAAACAATTAATGAATGATAAAAATAATTTTATTAAAAATTTTGAAAAATATAGTTTTGTTAGTGAAGAAAAAGCTGTTGAATTACGTCGAGAAACATTTCCAAAAATGTATGCATTAAATTTATGTCAAACATATAAAAAACGAAAAATTATAAATCATCATTTGAGTGAATTAAAAATTGTACAAAAATTATTTGAAGAAAACAACAATAACAATGTAATTCTTGTAGACTGTCCAATTGTTATAGGCAGTGAAAATAAAATTGAAAAAAATGGTTTACGATTATCAGTTGATTTTCCACGAGAAGAAAATTTACTGAAAAAAGATTATCAATATTTGTATGTAATTGAAGCATCATCATCAAAAAATATTAATTTTAATTACGATCATGAATTTAAAAAACAAATTTGTACAATATTAGGAATAAAAAGAATTTATTCAACAGAAAAAAATTCTATCAAAATATTAGATCAAGACTTAAAAGTTATTCTCAATCAAAAACAACAAGAAAAAAAACTAGATCAAACTGAATTAAAAATAACATCAGATAATGAATATGAAAAATTATTAAATGAACTTTGTGTTAATGTGAATGAATTTAATAAAGAAATTTTAAAAAGAAATTTAAATTTATCATCGTCCATTGAAAACAGCAACAACAATAATAATGATGATATTATTGATGTAAAAGATTATAAATTATTAAATAATTTACATAAAAAATTCATAAAAATTTTAATTTCCGGTTGGTCAATTGAATAAATTCAAGAATTAATTTCAAATATGCATAATTCAAAAATAAAATTACAACATTTATTAAATTCATTAGATCCAATTTATGAATATAACTTAAGAGAATTTGATATTAATGTAAAAGGAAATAATTTATTTAATATTTTAATATCGACTTTATCATCACCATCATCATCATCAGAAAATTGGATAAAAGAAATTCATGATTTAGCAATTTTCAAACGTTTAAAGGAAGTTATAATAAAAATTTAGAACAATTAACAACAGAAATATTTGATTTAAATAGAAATAATAGAAATGATGATAATCAACAAGAAATATTAGAAATTAAAAAAGAAAAATTTGATAATAGATTAAAAATATTAAATCAAGAAATTCAGATTTTAGATAAAAAACAACAAGAACAACATACAGAGAATCTAGATAAGGATGAAGATAAAAATATAGAAATAAAACGTCAGGAAATAATTAAGATCAATTATGAGATTAGTGAAATTCGACCAGAACTTTTCAAAATCTGATATTAGTAAAGAATGTAATATTGATTATTTAATTATTCTATTAAGTGAGAAAATAGAAGAACGTCAACAACAACAGATAGTAGATAGTAGAGACAGTGGATATCATTTTTCAAAAGGAACAATTGATAAAATTATTGAAATAGGAAAGATAACAGAAAATAAAAATATTGGAATTGCTATTCTTAAAATTTTGAATAATTTTTTAAATATCAAAGAAATTGATCAACAAATTGTTGAAAAAATATTAGCAAAAGTTTTATCACAAATATCTTCAAGTGATGATCAAATTGTTGATATTGTTTTAAATCTTAGTAAAAGATTAGAAATTGTAAATCATACAAATTTATTAAAATTTCTCTATCAAATATTAATTGAAAATGAAAATAAAATAATGAGAAATGAAGCATATGAAATTTTATCTACATGTGAATTTTATTCAGACAATCTCAAATATATAAATGAAACTGTTGAATTAGAAAAAAAATGTTTGATGAAAACAATCGATACAGAAGAAAATATATTGGAAGATTGTTTAGAACAAGTTAAAATGAAAAATAAATTAACATTGAACTGTTTTCATTCGTTAATAAAATGTTTTTCTGTAAATACAATAAGTGAAATAATTAAACAAATTGTTGAACAAGATATACAAAAAATACCAAAAATTTTTATTGAAAAATTTTATGAATATGTAAAATCTTGTTGGAATGAAAAAAAATCAAATAAAAAATATAATTAATATTATTAAATCATTAGTCAGAGGTAAATATATTAATTTAAAATATATTGAAAATATTATTGAAGAATTAATTAATAAGAAAAAATTTTGTTAATGATATTTTGGATATTTTATTTTTGGAATTTACGAATGGAAATAATATTTCAGAAAAAATAATTAAAAATATTAAAAATGTTTCAATAACAAATGAATATGCTGAAAATTTAATTAAATTAATTGAAAAAACATTTAGTTATATTGATATATTAGAAAATCCAAGAAATGATTTTGAAAAACGAAAATATGCACTTGAAATGATTTTAAATGATAAACGAAATCATACATCGTATACAGCAAAAATATTAGAAATATTAATTAAATATGATATTGATTTAAGATTTGATTGTTTTAAAATATTAGTAAAAATATTACCAAATGATTACAATACAGAAAAGGATTTTAAAATTGATTTAATTGACATTGGAAAATGTATTTCTGATAATGATGCTGATAATATTGACATTGAAGATATTTCAATTTTAATACATAAAGATAATCGTGCAGATTTTTCAACTATTATACCAATAATAATTAATCAAATTATTGATCTAAAATTAGACGCAATTATTTTATTAAATGAAATATCTCATTTCAAAAAATGCTGAAAAATTGATTT